GGGGCCAGGAGGGGGGCAATAGAGTTTCCCTGGTGTTGGCCAGAGTGGCCACCAGGGAAAGCTGGGGAGGGCTAGCTTCCCACTAGTTTGAATTAAGGGGCTACACACCCCTTAATTCAAACTAGCTAGTTCGAACTAGGCTTAATCCTCGTGCAATGAGGTTTTCCTAGTTCGAACTAAGCGCTCCGCTAGTTCGAATTAAGTTCGAACTAGCGGAGCGCTAGTGTAGCGCCTATGAAAGTTAGTTCGAACTAACGTCCGTTAGTTCGAATTAACTTTGTAGTGTAGACATACCCTATGAAGGAAATGCCTGCCCAGGCCCTCTCCCCACTGGGGAGAAGCCAAAAGCAATGCATGGGTAGGGGCGGGGCAGGGTGGTGCGGCAGGTTGATGCAGGGTCATATGCCCCTCACCTGATTTTTTTGCCAGGGTTTGCTAGTCCCGTTCGGTCACATGATGCCTCTAGCCCCACTCCCTGCACAGCAGTCCCCGGAGCTGGTAAGCTGGAATTTGCAGCCATGAGGTGAGGAAGCAGCAAGCAGCTGGGAACAGCAGGGAGAGCTGCTGCTTTTTGGAGTTGCCTCTTCCTGCAGGGCTGAAGGAGTGGCCCCTTCCTTGCTGTTGGTTCTCCACAGTGAGCTAATACTGGGGAGCTGCAGGGAGGGGCTGCTGGGAATAGGAGGGGGCATACCTTGGGGTATGACTCAACTGGTTGTGGAGGGATGGAGGAAATATTTAAATTGTGTCCCTATCTCAGCAGGCACCAGTCATTTTTGGCAGAAGCCCCCAAACTTCCATCCACCCCAGCCTGATTGGTGGAGAAAGAGAATGTTGGGGGCTCCAGAAGCCACACTTGAATTGTAAAAAAGATGTACGCAGATAACAGGCTGTAGTTTGGTCACACGTAGTAAATTTTGTAGCATTGTATAGAGTTGGAAAAAAACCATAAGAATTGCCTCCTTAACCAAAATGTTGTGTCTATTTGAAATGAGCATGCAATGCTTACCTTTTCTTTTGATTTAATGAGAACAGAAAAGTGCCTCAACACCAAGGGGCCATCTAAGCTGTATGTGAAGTTAACGTTTTCAAAGGCTATTACACCTTGGCTTGGCCATTCAGCCGATGGGCGTTTGTTGGACTCCCAAGGAGCTTCCTTTTCAAGTTCCGTGTATTCCATTACTCTTTCGACTGAGATCATCTAGAAAAAAAAAGTTATAAAAGCAATAAATTCAATCTCGTTTGAAGCTTGCATAGCATTTTGATTATTTAAAAAAGTTAGGAAATGACACCAGACATTTTCTTTCCATCATATGAGAGAGAAAGAGAGAGAGGACAAGCCATGGTATTGTCCTATTTTTATTAGATAGGATATCAAGTCTTGCCTCCTACTATAGGTCCTGACCCTGCACAACATTTAAACATGTACTTAATTTTAATTGATTGAATATAAGTATTAATTTGAGGTCAGTGGGATTATTCACATGTTTAAGTGCTTTGTAGGACTGAAGCCTTATTTCTACATGATAGGCTGCCTTTCTGCTGGGCATCTATAGGAGAAGTGCTATAGAATCAGACTTACATCTGAGCTACAGGAAGACACAGCCTATTAGCAGTATCATGGATAAGTTGATCACTTTTGTGTGTGCTGAGCCACCACCATCTCTGGGATTTCACCAAAGAACTTGTCCCTTGCAACTCTGATTACTATTATCATGTGCTTGGAATGAATGTCTATAATTCAGCAGCAGAACCAAATCAGTATGTTGGTAACTATGATAGTGGCTAGATAGCTAGCAGGATTTTTTGTCATATCCACAGATATACAATGATGAAACAGGCAGCAAGATTTATTGATAAGTGAGATTTTATGGGTTATCAATAAATAGAAAAAACTAACTAACTAATGGAACAACCCTCTCCTCAAATTTAAGATGTTTGGGCTACTTGTCACTCTCTGCCAATATGGAAAGCAGTGCAGTTTTGGCCATGGGGTACCATTTCCCCCTTTCAACAGATTCATGAATCAAAAATTGTAAGAAAAAATATTTTTTCTTCATACATTGTATTTCACCTTAATTGGCTTAAACCACTTCATGTATGAACTATGAAGACATCATTGTAACAGTACTCAAAAGATGTATCTTGACTGCAGTGGATCCAGGGACAGAGTCAGCCTCAGAAAATAAGCCATGGACTAGCAAGTTCTCCATTCTGGACCTCTCCCACCAGTTGAAAACACATGAGAAACAGAATACAATAAGAAAAAAAATACTAGCAAAGGAGAGCTAAGTAGGACAAAAACACAAAACCTGAGATTCTTCTGAGTCATGGAAAAATGGAGCTATTTACAGTAGCTTAGTAAATAAGTCTTATTCTATGATACTTCTAAATCTTCACCTCCCAAAAGAGTAATTCACCCCTCCTCCTCCCGAGAGCCCCACAATCTGAATTTCACTGATCCATATTGTGACAATTCAGACAAAAAGCCTTGATGCCTCTTCCCACTCATCAGAAAACATTTATCAGTACTGTTTAATTCATGCTTGCAATATGCTTTGAAAATACAGCAAGTTATATGGCATAAATGCTAAATACAAAATTATTAGCAGGGTGTTTTAGTTATCCTTTCTGTAATGTACAAGGTGTATTTACCAGAATGTTATAGTGACTCACCATAAATAACTGTAAATAAACCACACCTGTTAACAAAATGAGTAAGCAGATTTTGGAATGCAGTATCTTTTTATTGTGTTTGCTTACACATTACTTTTAAAATATTAATGTTCAACAAACAGTATCTTAGTAAATAGTATAAACTGATGTTCTACCACATACAAAATATATTTGGAAATTTACAAAATGTATCAGCCTTGAGTAGTAAGACTTGAATGAAGATTTAACACATCTTAAATATTTGTTAAATTTAAATTAACAGAGTCTAAGGTACTAGAAAGAAATAACTGGGTCTTTTCAATTCTGTTAATGGACAAATAACATGTCTAATGTTTCTTATATCACTTAACAGCAAAGAGATGTGAAAAATACCAAAATGAGCAAATTAATATTACCAGATTTTCAACTTCAGCACTTTGCCTGACTCCCCACTGGAACATTCCCATGAGACCGATTGCATAAGATAATGCCAAGCCAACCTGTCCTGCATCCAGAGCTGTACAGTAAGGGAAGGAAAAATCACATCTATGTAATGATACAAAACTCTAGTTAACGCCTCTTTCAAACTAATATGCCACTAAGTGGTAGAGCGAGACTGTCTCTTAGTCAGACCAGTTTAAATAGTGGCTCTGTGGAAAAAGTCTATTTTGTAAACTTTCTCAAATTATATTTGCGTTTGAAAATGAAGTGCTGCCTCTCCACACTCAGGCACCTTGTCTAAAAAAATTTTAAAAGCCCAGATTCAACAGAGCTTTTAAGCACATCGCTATTCAGTTAAGCAATTATGAGCCTTTCAATTAATTTCAAAGGAGTCCCTAAACCTGTGCAAAGTGAACATAAAATGCTACTGAAGCACTTTGTTAGCATTTACATGGATCAAAAAAGAAGTGTCTGGAGGGTAAAATTTAGCTCACCCTTCTCATGTGGACACACTCATTTCAATGAATGGGTAAACTTGTGAGTAGGCTAAACAGTGTTTGGTCCTAACATTAGACCAAATTCTCTTCTCATAGGGTGTGTCTAGACTACATGCCTCCTTCGACGGAGGCATGTAGATTAGCCAGATTGGAAGAGGGAAATGAAGCCGCGATTAAAATAATCGCAGCTT